CTCTTACTCAAAAAAAAAAAAAAAAAAGGCAGTTTCTCTTGATGGTCTTGATGGTCTTTTTAGTAGATTGTTTTAAAAGGTCACTCATTTATTACCTTTAATTTTATGAAGAGATGCTTTAAAGATAAGATAAGCAATGTGAAGTTTGGCTCGAAAAACTTTCACTTTGAATTTACACGGTGCCGTCTTCCGTTTGCCTCTAGCCATCGAACAGAGTTTTGATCAGGATGAGAGCGGGAGCCGGACGTCGGTGGATCTCAGGATTCGCAGGACCCAGGTTTGCAATTTGCCTCTTCGGAGTAACATAAGGTTGAGGAATGAGCCTTTCTCTTTCTTCTTCCCAACTCAGAAGGGCTCACCTTGGCTGTCCTGTTCGTCCTTATCATGTTTCTCTATAAAAAGGACGTGATGGCCAGGCTCGGTGGCTCAGCTTGTAATCCCGCGCCCTTGGGAGGCTGAGGTGAGTGGATTGCCTGAGCCCGCGGGTTCGAGACCCGCCTAGGCAGGCAAGACCTCATCTCTACAATAAATCAAAAAAAATTAGCCGGGCGTGATAGCACGCGCCTGTAGTTCCAGCTACTCGGAAGGCTGAGGCGGAAGGATCTCTGGAGCCCAACAGGTCGAGGCTGCGGTGGCGGGAGCGGCCACTGCACTCCAGTCTGGGCGATAGTGAGACTCCAACTCAAGAAAAAAAAAAGGATGTGATATTTACATACCTTTTTATTGTGAAGAAGCAGAGTCCAGTTCTGCACAGCAGGGAGCAGTCCAGACTGTGCTGGAGTCTGTAACGAGACCCTCACCCTGCAGTGGCTTATGGGCATCAGAGGGAGTGCAGAGTCCTTGCCCTGCTCGGCCAAAGTGACCAGGAAGCAGGCTCCGGGCGCCTCCTGGGTCCCAGCCCTATCCTGTTTTCACTTGTGAGGCCTGTCCCTGGGGGCCCACGAGCCACTCCAGATCATGGCTTCCCCTTCTGTGCCAGTGCTGAGGGACCCAATGTGAGGTTAACACACTGCGCATGCGAGGGTCTCTGCACAGATTCTGCCGCAGATGGGCTGCTCTCATTATCGGCCATTTGAAAATGCACAGGACCCGTAGTTTGAGTTTCTGAAGGCTAGTGATTCTGCATGTCATTTTTGGAAGGAGAAATCACCGTTTCCATGGGCTTTCTGTGTCGTTAGCATTCGGTGCTGTCTCGGAAGTTCGTGGAAGTCATGGCCGGATATAACGAAGCCCAGACGCTGTTTCGGGAGCGGAGCAAGGGGCGCATTCAGAGGCAGCTGGAGATCAGTGAGTTGGGGGCCCCACATCTGTTAAAAATGTATTTTTTCCCTATTTGTACCAAGGTTGTGAAACCTGAGGACCTTGGATCTGAAACTTTCTTTTTCCTGAGCCACCGCTTGCCCGTGTGCACCCTCGGGCCCCCTGAGTGCGAGAACCCGAACGCCCCCCCTTCGTCCCTGGTGGGGCTTCGGTCGGGTGTCCCCTCTGAGGCCTTCTTGTCCGCCAGTCCCTCTGCTCTGGGTGGGAGACCATCTCTGGGCCCTTCTCTTCTGCCTGTTTGTGACAGAGGCAGGTGGCCCTGCTGTCCAGATGTTCTTGGGGTGTGTGCAACGGACAGCGGCGGGAGGATGGCATCTTCCCTGGCAGAGGCAGCTTGTCACGTGATCAAGGCTGCCAGGCTGCTCACTCCCCTTGTGAACCACCAGCTCTAGTCTCCAGGTGGCCACAAACCCACTGTGGGACACTGCCCCCTGGCTGCTCCTTCTTTCCCCTCCAACTTGGGGACTGGGGAACCAGCAGAAGGAGGCGCTCATGCTGCCTGCTGTGCTGAGGTTGGCAAAGCTCTTCGTCCTGCCCGGGGTTTCAGGCTTTCCGCTCGCCTCTGCGAAGCCCTGGCAGGTGAAATGCTGCAAGTGAGGCGGCGGCTCAGACCCTTCGCGGGTCTCGATACCTTCAGAGACTATCCTTGGCCAGCTTGACCTTGTCCCAGCTCAGCGAGGCTCCTGTGTTCTTAAGGATTATTTTTTTCCTGTGTGTTTTACCGGGTCAGTTTCTGTCGCCGTCTTCAGTGTCTTCAGGCTAGTCTCTTATTTTCCTCCTTTCTGGTCTGCCCTGGGCTTCATCCAGTGTGTGTTTCATCTCAGATGTTGGAGTCCTCACCTCTAGGTGTAGGCGTCTACCTCCTGCGTGTTTCTACCTGGCTGAACATCTGGAACTTGGTTATACCAGCTTGTAAGGTCCTTGTCTGCTCATTCTAGCTTCTGTGTCATTTCTGGTCGGTTGATTTTTCTCTTCATTGTGAGTGTATAGGGCTGCTCAATGAGCCTGGTCAACTTGGATTTTATGCCAGACATGGCGAATTGTACCTGTGGGTGCTGAGGACTTCGGTATTTCGTAGTTTTGATATTGTAAACATTCTTGGACTTTGTTTGGAATGTAGTTAACCACCTGCACACAGTGCAGTCTTTGGGATCTTGCTTTTTTTTTTGAGTTGGAGTCTCACTCTGTCGCCCAGACTGGAGTGCAGTGGCCGCTCCCGGCCACTGCAGCCTCGACCTGCTGGGCTCCGGCAATCCTACCTCCTCAGGCTTCCAAGTAGCTGGAACTACAGGCGCGCGCTACCACACCCGGCTATTTTTGATTTATTGTAGAGCCGAGGTCTCGCCAAGTTGCCCGGGTGGGTCTCGAACCCGTGGGCTCAGGCAATTCTCTCGCCTCGGCCTCCTAAAGTGCTGGGATTACAGGCTGAGCCACCGAGCCCGGCCTGGGATCTTGCTTTTGAAGAGAGCTGAGCAGCTTTGTTTGAGGACCTGCTATTCCTCCTGCTGAGGCAAGATTCTCTGGGTTCCCCGCTGTTGGCCTATGTGCCCTGCGGTTCTTTCGTCTGCCCGGCGCTCCCTTGGACCCTCTCTGATGGCTTCTTGGGGTGCTGATCCATGCCCTGGAGAACTCGAGGGTCTCCCAGGCTCGCGGCTGTGCATCTGGTTATCTCCTGGACTTCATTCTGCAGACTGTAACCACTTAGCCTCTCCTCAGCTCTGCCTTGTCCACTCGGGGCTCCACTGGGCTCCACCTGGGAACCCTGCCTGCTCCGTGGCTGGGCATGCCCAGTCCCCTGTGATGGCCAGCCATCGTGCTCACCTTGTTTGCTTTCCGTCTCTTGGGAGTCGCTGTGTGTACCTGATTCAAGGGCTCAGCACCTTGAACCCCCTGTTTCAGACTGTGGTTTGCTGTTTCATGTGGAGGGTCAACACAGCCCTGTTACTCCATCTGGGCCAAAGTGTCGGTCCAGTCCTTATGCCGACCGATTACTTTGCTACGAACATGTTTTTAAGAACTGTGTTGACTTTGGGGTCTGTTCCACCTTTTGTGAGTGAGGCATTGTCATGGACACCACATCGTGGGTGCACCGTGGGGGCTCTCGCTCTGTGGCTGTGGTGGGGGCTTTTGCGGCAGGCTCCTAGCTGGGTTTGGGGCCAGGACAGACTCAGCCCTGAAGGAGTCATGTCGTCTGTCACGTGTGTCTTCCTTCTTTCCCGGGTTATTTCATCTCTGTGTGCGTCATTTCGTTTCCAGCTTTTCTCCCATTGAGATCATGCTCATCTGTCAAATATAGGGTCTTTCTGAAAGTATCTTATAAGCAGTAACATATCATACGAGGGCCCCCCTGCCAATGCAATAATTTTGTGGATTGCAGACCCCTTGTAGTCCAGGCTTCCCCTGCTAGATAAGTGTTCTAGGAACCATCGGCATCCGTGTACCAGCTAGTGTTGTGAGAGGCTGTGTTTGGCTTCAGTGAATTTTTTTTTTTAAGATTCTTTCACTGCATTTGCCCATTTCACGGTGGGTGATTTATAAGCACACCTGCCCACACCACGCTAAGTGCTCAGCAGTTTTTGACCAAAAATCACACGCCCCCATGCCACACCCTTCCTATTCACCCAATCTCACCCCAGGCAACTTTCTTTTGTTTCCCTGGGTGAAAAACGTGCTCACAGGGAAACATTTTGCCGGTGTAGAAGGGTGGAACAAAAATGGCAGAAGGGCTAAAAGGCATCAAAATCGACAAGTTCAAAAACGGTCTGAGCCACGGAAGAAGTGTCTTGATAGGTGTATGGCATCCAACGGAGAGCACTTTGAAGGTGACTGAAGTTGGAACATGTAAGAATGCACAATTTTTTATAAATTCCAGGATTTTCTTAGGTCCCCCCTCATACGCATGCTGGCAGCTTTTTAGTAATTCCTTGGTCTTTTAAATTCATAACCCTCTCTGCGACTGATGTGTGGTGGGGAGGTCTAGGCCAACCCCCAGGACAAGGGGGATGAGAGACCACAGAGAGAAGCTGACATCCAGCTTCTCAGAAAGAAACATCCAGTGGGGACTTAGGAGCAGAAGCCATGTGCCGGGCAGCTGGGAGATGGGAGACCCCGCACCTGCCCCCCAGAAGGGACCCTCTCTAAGCCTGGCCTTGAGGGCAGACGTGTGTAGCTGCACACCACCTTTGCCTTCCTTGACAAGACGCCGACTACCACTGTGACCACCCACCGGGAGGTTGGATAAGCATCTTGATGAGGGGTTCCCTGTGCTGCGGGCCTAGACGTCTCTTCCTGGGTTCCCTGTGCCGCAGGCCCGTGTCTTCAGGGGTTCTGTGTGTTGTCAGCCTTTCTTTTTTTCTTAAATCAGGCAGGTTCTAGCCTCATGTCACAGGGTGTCTTTTCTGTATCGTATGCTTTATTTCTTCAAATGGGAGTGTATTTCTTCTTGGGGGCAGGACCTGTTCCCTGTGTCTACAGAACTGTTCCTGAAATGCTTGGGCTGTTGTGTGTCAGAGTTCAGAAGTGTCGAGGTGTTTGGAAGATGGAACGGGTGTAGGATGTATATTATATAATGCCCAGGTAGAGTCTGAGACTCACCCTGTAGTCACACACTGATGTCTCTCTCCAGTGAGATGTGAATGTTCACAGTAAGTGGGAGGAACTGGCATTATAAATAGCCTCAACTTACTTTAGATCAGATTTTGCCACCAAATCAATTTTGGCATCAAACATGGGACAAAGCTAGTGTTCATTATGTTTTGGATTTCAGAATGATGGATGAGGGATTCTGGATGTGCACTACATCTTATGTTCCACGATGCCAGGCTGTTTCTCAGGCACGTAGTTAGCCAGTAAAAGTGGACTTAGTAGTTGCATCTTTTAAAATTCTGTTGGTGGGTACAAGAGGAATTGGTGAACATGAGAAGTGAACAGTTATTTTTAGTTTTGGCAATTATATTTTGTATTACTTGAAGCAATTTTCATCTTTTTTTAAAAGCAAAGAAAACCTCAGAGACTCTCCTGTTGAACTGTTTGAACAGAGTTTTTTTTTTTGAGTTGGAGTCTCACTCTGTTGCCCAGGCTGGAGTGCATGGTACACCATGGTCACCACAGCCTCGACCTGCTGGGCTCAGGTGATCAATCCTTCAGTCTCAGCCTTCCAAATAGCTAGGATTACAGGTGCGTGCCACCATGACCGGCTAATTTTTTTGGTTTAATGCAGAGATGAGATCTCGCTAAGTTGTCCAGGCTGGTCCTGAAACCGTGGGCTCAGGCAGTTCTCTCATCTCAGTCTCCCAAAGTGCTGGGATTATAGGTGTGAGCCACAGCACCCGGCCTGAACAGAGTTTTAATGATTGATAATTTTCTCTCAAAAAAGTATAAGACTACGTAAACAAATTTTGTAATATACTAACTTTACAATTTTTTATTAAGTGACGTCTTAACTTTATTGAGATGCAATTCTCATACTATGCAAATGCCATTTGGAGTGTACAAGTCAATGACCTTAGCGTATGACCACAGTCCATTTTAGATCACGCTCACGACTCCACCAAGAAGCTCCGTGCCCATGTCACCCCCCCACCCCGCCCAGCCCCAGGTTACTGCCATCCTGCCTCCAGCTTCGCCAATTTCCCCATTGTGCAAATGGCATCAAGCACTACAGGGTCTTCTGCGACTGACGTCTTTCACAGAAGACAGAGTTTTCAAGGCATGGTGTGTTGGAGCTGCATGAAGACTCCGCCCCTTTCTGTGGCTGGGTCTTGCTTCATTGCGTGGATAGACCACATGGCCGAGCTGTGCGTCGGGTGGGGGACGTTTGGCTTGTTTCCACTCTTTAGCAATTATGAATAACGCTGCTGCGAGCATTTATATTAAATAACATTTTAATTATGGCATTTATCCATTTAATGCCATAATAATGTCTTTTGTGGCATAAACTGTGAAAAATAGTTATTATTAATCAGTTTTCTCCAAAAACCTGTGTACTTATTTCTTAGATGTCACTGATGCATTTAACTCACGAGGAGGACGTTAACTACTGGAACCTGGGGCGGGTGAGAGCGGTTGGTCCTGAGCACGGGCCTCGGTGCCCTTGGTGTGTGCTGCGTCTGCCCGGGCCCTCCACAGAAGCCAGTGGTCAGCTGTTAGGAAAAAACCACATGCCAAAGCGTCGTTTACTGATTTTCTTTTCACAGTTGCTTCTCACCAACATGACAGTGACGTCTTGGGATGCATCATGCTTGTCAGGTGTCCCTGAGTATTTTTGCTTCTTCCTGCTTCTCAGCCTCAGCTTCATTTCCCCATATTGACTATCTGCCTAAGAAAAGGCATTTGAGGGTGCATAGTGTCCCTGACTCAGTCAGACTTCTGCGACAGCTTGTGGCTAGGAGGGCCCTGGCCACAACCGTGCAGCTTCCTGAGGGGGTTTCCTGTCACCCGCAGCCGGCAGGACCACTACGGATGCGGAGCTGGAGGAGATGCTGGAGAGCGGGAGGCCGTCCGTCTTCACCTCCGACGTGAGTGCGGCTGCTGCCCGGACGCGTGTGGCCGGGCTTCCACCTTCCCACCCCGGGCCAGCCCCACGCTCACATGCGTGCTCTTGTCTCATTTTTCCAAGATCATATCAGACTCCCAGATCACCAGGCAGGCTCTCAACGAGATCGAGTCCCGCCACAAGGACATCATGAGGCTGGAGACCAGCATCCGCGAGCTGCACGAAATGTTCATGGACATGGCCATGTTCGTGGAAACACAGGTGACGCCTGGTGCCACCCTCCTGGGGGGCGGGTGGTGGCCCTGGGGGATCGCAGTGGCAGGGCCAGGGCTGGGTCTATCTGGGAAGGCTGCTATCCTGGATCTGGTCTCAGAATGCGAGAGCCGTCGCACTGCTCGGTGGCTCAGCCTGTAATCCCATGCCTTGGGAGGCTGAGGTGAGTGAATTGCCTGAACCCATGGGTTCGAGACCCGCCTGGACAACTTGGTGAGACCTCATCTCTACAATAAATCAAAAACGAGCCGGGTGTGGTAGCGTGCACCTGTAGTTCCAGCTACTTGGAAGGGCGAGGTGGAAGGATCGCCGGAGCCCAGCAGGTCGAGGCTGCGATGGCTGGGAGCAGCCACTGCACTCCAGTCTGGGCAACAGAGTGAGACTCCAACTCAAAAAAAAAAAAGAAAAAGAAACGCTGGAAGCAGCGTGAACTTCTGACAGCAAGGGATAGGCTATCAATTAGTTCATAGGTCACCTTTGTGGGCAGCCAGGAGGCAACTTGAACTTTTTGTTCATGGGGAATTTTTATTGTAATATGCGAATGCTTGTGCTAGAATTAAGAGAAAAGGGAGAGTATATAAAAGTCTTCTGTAAATATATCCATACATTTGTCTAATTGCATATCTACACAATTGCAGATGACATGAACTCGGTTGCATAAAACAGCATTCACAGAAGGAGAGAAATGTATCAAACAGTAAAACAATGGTGGCACCATGGGAATTCTAATTTTTCTCTCTAAATGTATTTACTTTCAAGTTTTCTGCAAGGAGCGGATGGTATAGTGATAATTGGGAGAACTGTATAAAGGAACAAACCCCAAGGGGCTAGGCTCCATGATGTGCAGCTTGTGCCTGTTACCTGATGCCCCATGTCTGCCTAGGAGCTTGCGTAGGGCATGGCAGGAGGCATGGACAGGCCTCTAGGAGCTCCAGAGAGTCACTGCACTTCTGAGAAATGTGAAACCCCATGTGTGTTACGAGGCGGCATGCGTGTATAGGCGTGGGGTGCTCACCCATGCTCTTGGAGTCTACGTGAGGCCCTCTCCTGATTGTCCATGCCATATGGGGACAGGACTCTGCCACTCACGGTCAGTGGCTGTTGGGAGGCAGCTGATCTCCTGCCTGTCAGACATCCTTTGCAGCTCACTGCCCCCCCCTCCTGAGTGGGCTCCGGAAAGCCTCCTATTGGTGGGCTTGTTTTCTGGTCACTAGAATGTGTAAGGGGGTAGGTTCCCATGCTCAGCTCACCTCCTGAAGACACTGCCCATCAGAAGACTCAGGCGCCATGCATTTGCTAGATGAAACTAACAACCCCTGGAGGTTGGGGGGTGCAGTCATCCCCTTTGGGATTTTGGGTGGGCCAGTGCCATGCACGAGGTAGGACGTGGAGCCTGGCATTCTGGCTCCTGCCAGCTTCTCATGGTTGCCAAACATTCCAAAGGAAGACAGTTGGGCAGTAAGAGTAGCAGGTTGTGTTAGAATCACTAAGCAATGTAATGCCTGAGACCTTAGTTACACTTGCCGTTCACGAAATGCATTCACTGCCTTGAGCTCCACTAAAAAAGTCGACGTTTTCTTCGCTTTGTGTCGTGGTTTCCGTAGACACATGTCAGGGTTGTACTGCACTGATGCATCTCTTCAGAATGTATGTGTAGTCAGGCTGACTAGGAGGCTGTCTGTGACTGAGTGGGTTAACTGTCCGTCCTTCCCCAACGCCTCCCTGGTCACTGCTGCAGCTCATGTCTGCTGGTGGATGGAGAGCAGGTAATGTGTCTTCTCCCTGCACTTCTCGCCTCACCTCCCCGTCCATTTGCTCATTCGCTGTGTCAACTCAGTGACATGAGCTGTGCTCAGATGACTGGCATTTCCACCATCAGAAAGACACCCTTCTCCTGTGTTGTCTGTCTGCATCACAGTGAAATGTCAGTTGACCCTGTGGCTGCCGCCTGTCCCTCACTGTGCCCGGTGACGTGTTCACGGACAAAAGCATATCTCACGGTCAACTCGATATGCTTTTAGTGGTCAGCATCACTGCCCATCTTTTAGCTCTTTTGAAAATGTCAGTTGAATTTTGATTGCTTTATCTCAGCACATTTACAATGGTCTCACCTTTTACCTTTCTGTAAATGTGAAGAAAATTCGGTGTCCATTCCATGCCCATTCTGTTTATTATGTGGTTGTCTTAAAGATACAGAATTAAGCCGTTTGAAAATGTCTTCTAAGTTCGAAAGTTTGTTTTCAGGGTGAAATGATCAACAACATAGAAAAAAATGTGATGAACGCCACAGACTACGTAGAACACGCAAAAGAAGAAACAAAGAAGGCCATCAAGTACCAGAGCAAGGCAAGAAGGGTGAGTCTGGCTTTGGAGAGGTCAAGGGTTTGGAGAGATCTTTGGAAAGATCTTTCTCTTTGTTTGATTTCGAGTTGTCATTCACTGACAGCCTGTCTGGAAGGTTTTCCAAAAAATAAGAATGCCTGAAATAAATGTTCTACTTTAAAATAGAAAGAATTCTTTTTGCTGAAAATTTTAGATGTTTACTAGATAAATTATGTTGAGGATAAATCCTTTTGTGTTCTGAGTAATTAAAACCCTTCACAGCCGGAAGGCAGTGCGGGTTCCCTTTTCTAGGTAAGTTCGGGTTTTAGAGTTCTGTTTCTCGGGTCATTCTTTGGAGGGAGTTCCAAAACCGATGGGGCTGGAAACTCTTAAAAATGGTTGGTCACACACTTAATGCTACGAGCATTTATCCCTATTTGGGTCATTTGCTAATTCTTCGGTTCGGAGGAGAAAAGAGACTTGCTTGAGTCAGAAGCCCTAACCCTCACGCAGCACCCACTTCAGGGATCACCAAAGGGAGAGAATCTGTTAGCTTAAGACCCATGTGCTTTGCCTTCAGAGGTTTGAGGGGCCCTGTGTAAATGTTTTTGTTGCTGGGCCACAGTTTAAAATGGATTCTACTGATGTAGACATTTTGTCTAAGGCCTCGGAAGCGTGAGAGATTGCGGGTCCGTGTGTCACCTTGTTTTGCAAATATGCGGAAATGCTGAGGGCAGGGAGAGCCTGGCCTATGAGTTTAGTACCTGAGCCTCAAGAGGGTCATGTGTGTGTGGAAGGTCTTCCCGGAAGATAGTGATGCTGCCAGATTAAGTTCCCACCGAGGGGCACTCCGTGCGTCTCCCTGTGTGTTCACGCCTGTTCATTTGTCTTATCTCCCAGTGTGGAGGAAAAGCAACCCAAAGCACCAAGCTGCTGCATGTCACCCTCGTGCCTTCCTGGGGTCAGCTGTCTGGGTGACCCCGGCTGCCCAGATGCTGATGGCCGGGGATGTCACATAGGGCCTTAGCAGAAGCTCTGCGAGCAGACACTTCTCAGCTTAGGAAGAACCGAGAAGCAGATGAGGGTGCACATTCCCACAGGCCATTGCGCTGATGTGCAGTTTTCTTGGACTGTGACATCAGCCCATGGAGTTTTCCCTTGGGCGTATCTAAATAGTTTCACTTTATTTCAAATGCAAGATAAGATTTCTTGTGGTATTTTATGTTCATCGTTTTAAAAAATACCCTGCTTGGGAATGGAGGTGGTGAGATGCGACATAAAGCGCTTGGCTTAGTTCCAGGCCCAGGGTGCTCTGCCCTGAGACGAGGCTGTTCTTGTCTTTCTCCATGTCTCCATGACCTCTACACAGCAGGCTGGGAAACCCTGTGAAAGAAAGTTCAGGAATCTCCGAAGACAGACCGTGGGTGGGATACAGCTTTGTTCTTCCTCTGCTGATGGGCCAGCCCAGCTTTGAGAGGAGCCTGGGTGCGTGACCCCGAGTGTAAGCTGCTTGGAGGTGTGATGCTGTGTCATGTGGGTTCAGTGCCTGAGGACCACTGCCCAGCGTCTCTTGACACCTTGCTGCAATCAATGCACCACCTCTGCCGCCTTCTCCTTGCTGGCAGCTGTGTTTATCCGGGCACTGCGTGTGGCCTCGGGGCTAGGTGGCACTCGTAGGATGGCTTTTCCATGTGCTGTGTCGGGGGCAGTGGATGGAATTGCCAGCAGCACACAAGCAGGAAGCCACGTGCTGACAGGGGCTGATGTGCTTCCCAGTCGTGAGCTGGCGGCCCCGTCCACACACAAAGATAGCCGCATCTCTCCGTCCATCAGAAAGCTGTCAGCAGCGTGATCTCGTTGCTCCCCAAGTCGGAACTCAGTGCTGAGAGTTTAGCAGCTCACCCCCAGGAAGCCTGCCTTCGTTGAGTTAGAGGTCACGCTTCAGAGCTGGACATGCCAGGCAGGACGGAGCCGATATCCCGTAGCGCAAGCTTTCGATGGGTTCTGATGGACCGTTCTATTTTCAGGGAGACGTGAAGTCAGCCGCCATGTAATCAGTTTGCTTTTCCTTGACAGAAAAAGTGGATAATTGCTGCTGTGTCAGTGGCTCTGGCTGCCATTCTTGCTCTCATCATTGGGCTCTCGCTGGGCAAGTGACGGTCCAGATCGCGTCAGCATGCATGCTTCTCCGCGGGTGGGCGTAAGTAACTAATCGCTAATTGACTCATTAACTTTTGCAGTTAACCAGTAATGGTGCTTGCCCGATTTTAACAGACTTAAAAGTATGAAGGCTTGCAGCTGAGGGTGCAGTCGTGCCAGCTAGCGACACACCTGCCCGTCTGCTGAGTGCTGGTCTCCAGGCGCTGTGCGCGCTGGGAGCAGGAAGGCTGGTGGCAGCACCGTGGACCAGCGTCACGCTCACGCCTGGCTCCGTGAAGCGCCTAGGTCTGCTTCTATCCCTTTAACGTGATGGCACGGCGGGTGGCAGCCCTCCGGCCTCTTGGGTCTTTTGTCTTCGCTCCAAGGCCGCTTCCACTTTCCATGTGCGGGGAGCCCTTTGCTGCCTGCCGGAGCCATGTTGGTGAAGATCACAGTTCATTCAAGACTAAAATGGATCGTCTCCGTGTATCTCTCAAATGTTCACTTTCAGAATAATCGCCACGATGGGGAGTGACTTTGTAAAATTTGCTAACTCATCGTTTGACCGTAGAATTGAGAGCCTGAATCTCAAGCCAGGAAAACAGAGACCGAAGTGAAAATCCTTGTCCTACTTTTCTATTGGCCGCATCTATTTTGTTTAAAAATATTTTCTTGTTAAAATGAAAACTGCACTTACCTAGTTAGCTTGTCTGTGACATCTTTGTTCAGGGCCTCTGAATGTAAATGATACTCAGTGATTTAAAGGCCCATTATTTTTGTCCCCTGCGTGGACATCACCTTTCCCCTGACTCCAACTGACTTGGGGGTTTCCCTCTGGTTTTCTTGCACACTGAGGGTCATTCTTCTTAAATTAACCCTTCGGTTAGAATGCCCGCCGGTGTGCGGAGTTTCGACACAGCCGTTAATTCTCGGTAAATGTCTCTCTGCCATGATCATTGTGATGAGAAGGTCTGAATTGCCCTGGGCTGTCTAGATTGTGACACGTGGTCCCTGATGACTCCGTTCTTGTGGTACGGAAGTGATTGCCGTCTTGAGGGTCACTCGGTGTAGGCATGTGCATTGTCGGCCTCACTACTGCTTTTTAGTCGCTGAAATTTCTGTCTTGACGGGAGCCTCTGATCTGCTTCCCATACCCAGCGGTGGGTGGGGGCTTTGGTGATCAGTGGCAGTGGCAGAACTGCACCCGGAATGACTTCGGTTGCAAGCTCCAGGACGTGGGGCCTGTAGTGTTCCTCTCTTTAGGCGGCCACACTCTCCTCGCACCCTTTTTGTGAATGCGAGTGTGCCTTTCTTAATTTTCTTAATTTTTCCTCTTAACCCTGCTGATGCAATGGTGTATGTGACTTTTCTTCACCAATGTAGTGGCATTTTTCAGTATTTTAATAACTCTTTTTAAAACACGTATTAAACATTTTTTCCTAATGGCCACAATGCGGTTACACTCAAGGTAAGATTGCAGTTTTTAGCTTGGACCCAATGAAGGTCACTTGCCGTGGGCACTGCTTGGTATGGATGTTGACCAGAAGGCGTCTCCCGGTGTGACCACCTGGGGAGCGGGGCCTGGTCCTGTGCTGTGGGCCTGGCTGGCCGTTTCACCCTGGCTTCTATAAGCAAGAACTAACGCCGAATGATCCCATTCCTAAAACACAAAGCCACGCACATCCCGGCAGCTGCCTTTGCGTGGGAAGGCATTGGTTGATGACTTTATGCCTTTAAAGCATCGGTGCATTCTTTCACCCCCCTTAGCAAGTTGCCTCCTAGAGGCTAGGCACTGTCCCACCTGCCTGCCCTGTAGTGTGTCAAGGCGCAAAGCCTCTTCGTAAAGGCAGGCCTAATTCCCATCACCCGCAAGGTGAGTGGGAGGCCCCATTTATATCTGAGGAGACAGGCTGAGAGATTTATAGCTACTTGGTGATAGAACCATGACTCGAACCCCAAACTGGGTCGACCTCCAAGGGTGTGCTCTTCAGTAAGAAGAAGCCCAGGCATCTGGTTGGAGCCATCACGAGAGACAGACGACACCTGCATGTCTGCACCCACATGCCATGTAGTCAGCAGCACCATTCTGAAAGTCACGTGTGGCAAGAGCACACATGTGTGAAGTGCCCAGAGACATGGCAGATGGCAGTACAGTGGCTGGAACCAGTGCCTGGGTCAGGGACCAGTACTGCCAGGGGTGGGGAGTGCGGGTGCCAGGATGTCGTCCCCCCACTCCGGGAAGGAGAGCTTGCCCGTGTGATGGGGGCCGCAAGGCTGTACAGGCTGGAGGGAAAGGCCTCTCTAGGAGGGTGGGAGGACAGGGTCTCAGGAGGGAAGGGCATCTCTCTGGGAGGTTGGGAGGGGAGGCTCGTGGTAGACCGTGCAGAGGATGATGGACGGTGGGCTTCCAGGACTGTGCACAATGCTTGCAAGGAGCATGGGATCTGAGGGGAGGGTCTCCCAAGGCTGCGCCCCTGGTCTGAGAAGGTCGCTGAGGGTCAGAGGGGCTGGGCTGTGCTTGTCTTCCCAAGCTGTGCTGTGTTAGTCGGCGGCGTGTGCGGACGTGGCGTCAGAGCCATCGAGGGTAGGCAGATGCGATTTCTCAGGCGAAAGTGTGTCATAGGTTTGGTGATTGATTTAAGATGAGGTCTCTCTGCTTTCCAGAAAGGGTCCTCTCATCCCATGTCTTCCTTCCCCTTTCCTCAGACCCGTTTCCTGAAGGAGACCAGGCCTCTTCAACCTAAGGTGGCCCAGCCTTCCGTCACGTGAGGGTGCTTAGAGAAGGGGAAACTGAGGCTATGTGGTGCGTGAACGCAGTGGAAGGCTGAAGGGATATCTCATTGGTTTCTTACACACATTTGTCATGTTAAATGCAAAAAATAGACGGAGAGGGTTTTCCAGTCAGTGAGAAGCAAGTTCATTTAAAGTCTAGAAAGATGTTCAACGGGCTGCTGACTGTCGGCCCCGAAGTTCTGTGATGGTCACAGCAGAGTGTCTGCTGGGAGCCTGAGTGGCGCCTACTCCTCGCATTCGCATATGTTAATTTAACATCCATGTGACACAGCTTAATATTTTGCCTTTGGAGTTTTTCTTTCCCCCCTTTTCTATGACCTTGAGGGTTTTTTTTATAATGGACTTGCATTTGAAATGACCCCAAATTCCAGAAGGACTTTGTTAGTAAATGACATTGTTGATTTCTTTGATACATTGTAAATTAATGTTTTTCTTTATCTTGCAGAAAATGATGTTCATTGTTATTTGTGTAATTATTTTGCTTGTGATCCTCGGAATTATCCTAGCAACAACATTGTCATAGCAACCATATCCCAAGAGCTGTTTATCCTCGGAGACTCACACCACCTCTGAACCAGATCAACATCCTGCATTTCATGAGTGACTCTCAGGCATTGTGACATGGCATCGAGTGCCGGTTTTTAAAGTAATGAACACAAGGAGAAGGCACAGCAGAACGTCTTGGGAGTGAGGACTCCGTGAGCAGGATGGAGTTGCCAAGGGAGCCAGATGTCCTCGGACCCTGGAGAATACATCGTGGGATGAAACAACGGGAAGTGCAGTTCAGTGGCCTTGAAATGAGGAACGATTGGAGATTCCAATTTTAAAAAGATTTCAGTGTTAAAAATATATGTGAAGTTTAATTAGGAATACTTTGTGCTGTGAAGGTTATTAGATTTCAGGTCTAAGACTCTCTCCTCTCCTTCTCCCTGCTAACATATGCTAATTAAGAGACTTTTGTATTGTGTTTAATTTGTGTTTATTTCTTGTGTGAAGAGATAAATTTTATCATAGAGCTTTTTTGTAAGATATCTGTAATTTTAAATGTTTATAAATTAATTGCTTAATATATGAACATTTTAACTTACCCCTTTTTATATACTACATGTCACCTTTTGAATGAGAGAGGAAGCTTCCTGGTGTTAGAGCATCTCCGGACAATTGTTTCCAAAATTTGCCATCATCATAGACAACATTGGTTGCAAAGCCCCTCAAAACCCCTTTAAGTGCCTTCTGTTGGCTGTGATTTATAAGGGTCAGGTGTGCTTGGTACCCTTCAGAAAAGTCTCAGTTTGTTTAGCTCCATTTCTGCCTGTTCCTTGACCCAAGATAATAAATAGTTCCTGTAAAAACAGCAGTCTCTTTTCTCTTCACCTAGAGTAGGGATTGTGTTTTCTTGTGGACCTTAATAAAGTCGAATTTAAGATGATGGTGAAATTGAGGACTAGTACTCTCTAAACTCAAGGAAATTATTCCTAGATATTAAGTAATTCTTATAAATTTAAAGTATTGTACAGATCACTTAAATGTTCTTGTTGAGTACCTAATATTTTGCTGAACTTTAAAAGTTACTTCCCAAAGTTTAAAAGAATCTATGATAATTAAGCATTTTCTTTGCTCATTATTGTTTTTGGCAGAATAATATGAATTATTGGGCTTAAGTGTGGTAGCTCACGCCTGTAATCCTAGCACTTTGGGAGGCCGAGGCGGGAGAGTTGCTTGAATCCAGGAGTTTGAGGCCAGGCCGGGCAACAGAGCGAGACCCCATCTCTATTTTCTAAAAAGATTGATTTTTAGACTTGTAAAATGTAGGACTGAGGGGAGAGACACCGACTAGTCAGAGATTGAAATGAATATTTGAAAGCTACCCAATGTATCAGTTCTCTCTCGTTACTCCTGCTTGTGATTGGATGAGCGCGTCGCTCTCCTAACGTTATTTGGCTGGAAACTGATGTGAATACAGCCAGCCAGCGCTGGTAGCGCGGAGCGGAGGAGCTGCGGTCCTTACTGAACACACGTGGAACTTCACACGCTGGTCACTGAGGTCCACTACTGCAGTGACTCGTCTCCCTGCTTCTTGTGCATCAGAATCCCTGGAGAGGACCGGGCACGACATGGCCTTCTGTCTTGAAGCAGCCTGTCAATGGGCTGTGCTCCCTGACTGTGCTGAAAGTGATGCCGCGCCTTGTCCTGTGGGTGTGTAGGTTTTTAAAGATGGCGCCTCACCGGCGTGACTGCAGAGCCTGTGTACCCACAGCCACGTGGAGAGGACCTCTGGCCAGCACCTGGCTTCCCCTGTGACTCACTCCTCGAGCTCAGTCCTCCGATCTTCGCCTTTCCTGACACTTCTTACTGCGTTTTTTTTCCACGTTATTTTTGCTAGGTTTGGAGTACTTACTGGATTTCTGTTTTTATAAGAACATTTAAAAAGTTATGGAAATGCTTTTTGGTTTATATTTAGGTATTTAAGTCCGCTGTCAAGTGACTTATTTGTATGTTTAAACCTCATGTACGGATTTGAAATCAGATTTTAAAAACATATTTACAGATTATTTGCTACTTTTTTTTTTTTATTATTTCTTCAAATTTCTCATGTTTACATTTTAAACATTTCCAGAAAAGCAAAAAAGAAGTATTCACTTTCTGCCTTGTCATTTCTGGAAATATTTTGGGAGAGATACTTTATTGCATATCCATTAATAAATTGTTCTATTAAGAGAATACCCTTATCTGTGCCTGCCTGTTATTATGTGTAATAATGTGAGTAATTTTGGGTGGATTTGGTAAATTTTTGCTTACTTTGCTTATTGTTGTTCCTGTTGCCAGCTTCTATTGCTCCTGGCCCAGACATCAGCACCCACATTAAGGGGCTCCTGGAGCTTGGCTGTTCCTGGCAGATACCAAGTCAGCGAGTGTGGCCCCGATCTGGGTGCCACGTGGGGTGAACTCCTATGTCAATCTGACACATTCTCGTTGACATTTATTAGCTGGGGGACTCTCCCCGCTGTGTTCTGTGTGTTAACCTGTCTTCCATGCTTTTCTTAATCAAATAATACTCTTTCAAAGTTTTTCTTATTAAGTGGGAATTATTTCCCTAATCCTTCCTGAATTCTAACTGTGTTGGAAAGTGATGTTCAGAAACTAGAATTTCATACTCACTGTTCGATTCTCCAAAAAAAAAAAGTGCCCCAGAATTTATATTTAAAAAGTGAGATAATCCTGGAGAAAATTGATTCACGGAGGCAGATCTCCACATATTAAATTCAATCTTCTCATATTTTCTTCCACAATGAATTTTCCTTCAAATCACAGTCTTGACAAGCACATTCAGGAACTTGGTTCTCATTTTTATACTTTCCAATGAAGACGATTTATCACCTAAATGACTTCGTATGAATTTCTTCAGTAAATATAAACTCACGTTCTTCCATGTGTTTAAAAATGGGGCCGGGCTCGGTGGCTCAGCCTGTAATCCCAGCACTTTGGGAGACTAAGGCAAGTGGATTGCCTGAACCCGCGGGTTCAAGACCAGCCTGGGCACATTGGTGAGACCTCGTCTCTGCAATAAATAAAAAATGAACTGGGCATGGTAGCGCGTGCCTGTAATTCCAGCTACTCGGAAGGCTGAGGCGGAAGGATCGCCGGAGCCCAGCAGGTCGAGGCTGCAGTAGCCGGGAGTGGCCACTGCACTCCAGTCTGGGCGACAGAGTGAGACTCCGACTCAAAAAAAAAAAAAATAAGGATTAGGTTGGGGTAGAATTTCAATAGGAAAGTTGCATGTTTACAGGGGAAGAGCAGAGAGTTGGGAAGCATCTGAATCCCCCCTCCTTCCCGCTTTGTGCAGGGTCTCTCAGGGCTGAGCTGTGGCAGAGCCACTTGCCACACCAAACCCAGACCCCACTTGCCACACCAAAGCCAGCTGCGCCAGCACCTCAATGCCACCCTCTTTGACTCCCGTGGGTCAGGGGCCAGGGAGCCCCCCTGAAGTGGCTGAGGCTGTCCTTCCCCGGTGTGGATTGGCTGCTCGGTCGCGAGTTTAGTTCACACAGCTCACTAGTCTGTTAGCACAAAGGTGAGTCTTGAGCAGAACGTGGGGGTGCACCGCCCTGTGGGTGGCAGGAAAGCCCGAGCCTCAGGGACAGCCGAGGACTAGGGCAATGTGGGTCTTCCCATGGGCTTCAGATGACAAAATGCATGCCTGAGTGCTAGGAAAATTACACACTGATCCGTTAAGTTCTGGTGTCGACATGTTGCTACAATAAGTTTTGGTGCACAGCATGGAAGGGTGGGCAGGGCGCGGGTGACACTGCAGGAACCCCAAGGGCTGTCTGCCTTGACTGGCACCAGGAGGAGTGCAGAAGGTGACGTGTTTTTTTTTTTTTTGAGTTGGAGGCTCACTCAGTCGCCCAGACTGGAGTGCAGTGGCCACTCCCGGCCACCGCAGCCTCGACCTACTGGGCTCCGGCGATCCTTCCACCTCAGCCTTGCGAGTAGCTGGAACTACAGGCGCACGCTGCCACGCCCGGCTAATTTTTGATTTATTGTAGAGATGAGGTCTTGCCAAGTTGCCCAGGCGGGTCTTGAACCCGTGGACTCAGGCAATCCACTCACCTCAGCCTCCCAAGGCGCGGGATTACAGGCTGAGCCACCGAGCCCGGCTCAAGAAACTTTTTTTTTTGAGTTGGAGTCTCACTCAGTCGCCCAGACTGGAGTGCAGTGGCCGCTTCCGGCCACCGCAGCCTCGACCTGCTGGGCTCCGGCGATCCTTCCGCCTCAGCCTTCCAAGTAGCCGGAATTACAGGCATGCGCTACCATGCCCGGCTGATTTATTGATTTTTTGATCTATTGTAGAGATGAGGTCTCGCTGCCCAGGTGGGTCTCGAACCCGCGGGCTCAGGCAATCCACTCACCTCAGCCTCCCAAAGGCGCGGGATTACAGGCTGAGCCACCGAGCCCAACGCGACATGTTTTAAGATGACTAGCAGGAAACAAAGCAAAACGTGATGTGGACAGGCCCTTCCCTTTAAAAATATTTGAGCAACAGGTAAGTTCAGGGCAACAAGTGGTCATCATTGACTTGTGTCCTTGGACAAGAGAGCAAATTCCTGAACCACAGAAAATAGTACCTGGCTCCATGGGAGGGCTTTGTCCAGAAGGGAAGTCCAGGGGTGTGTGGGTTGGCCCTGCCATGGCGGACCCAGCCTTGTGTGGGGCCTCCGTCCCTGTCTGGTCTGTGCAAAAGGGATGGAGCTGGTGTGTCCAGGGAATCTTCCCAAGACAAAGAGTTCACTGTGGAAAACCCTTCTGGCCTCATCTAGGAACCCAGGACACCCACAAAGCAATCATCCTGTTGCGTTTCTTGGCAGATGGTGCTTTCTCATGTGCCGCATTAAGTGTCCTGAGCCAGGCTGCCCTGGGGTAGAACACAGGCCTGGCTGTCAGCAGGTGACTGGAGTGCTCTGAGAGGGTGATGCCCTGTGTCATCACGGGTGCGGTGTTTTG